TATATCATCTACTTATGTTTGTCTTTGAAACATTAACTGATTGCAGGTCATTCACATGCACATTTTCGGTATTCTTTTGGTTTTTGGAGTTCCGGCAGCTCTTGGTGTAATGAACTTAATGTGGTTTGGCAAAATTATTAAGGGGTTGAAAAAGAATCTTTCGAAAAGGGTGTGATGAGATGTCAGTTGTTAGTTTAATGCATTTTTCCCATGAACTCCTCTATACTGTACAAATGGGTTGTAAGTTAGCTAGCTGAAAGGGGAAGAGAGAAAGGGTTAAAGACCTCGGAAGAATAGATTGTAAAATCAACAGAAACGAATACATGTAACTGGATACTGGCAAAGCATGTTCAAGAAGCTCACATATTCTATATCTATTGTGTGAAGGAAAGTAGAGCAATTCAGTGAAGTAAGTAACACGAGCCCTGTATAAGTGATACAGTTGTTTTCATGCGATAAACATCTCAGAGCCAGTAATTCCACTTGCATGTTAGCGTGTTCATATGATTTTGTTGTTTCCTTCAACTCTAATTTACTCATGTACGAGCCATCTCATTTTGCTTTGATTCTTTGTTTGGTGTCACGCCTTCAAGGCGTGTATAGTTTTTGGTGTACTATCAGATTTTTTTCATTTTCCTTGTAAAGATGTAAGTGTTCAAATGTGAACTTTGTTTTCTCTTGCAAGTATTTAATGTTTGATAACATACAGATGACAAATGCGCTTGAATTTTGATGAAGATAGATTGCAGTTAAATGTGTTTTAGCTAGATAATCGTTTAAGAAGAAATGTGCATCTTTAGTTGAGCAATGAGCACACAATTTCTCTTCCCAAAACAAGAACAAGTCCATTTCTCTGTGCAAATGTAAAAAATGGTTTTGCAAAATCAAAATTATTTTTAGTTGACAAATAATGGCATGCATGAGCTTTTTCTCAAACGAAAATGACATAGATAAGTCGAATTTTTAACAAATGACATTGATGAGTCTTTTCTCAAAATTCGATAACATATTTGAGACTTCTCACTTTTTCAATACCCCACACTCCGCCTTTAAATGCAATTGAGGTAGCTAAAATCCGCCGAATCTTTAATGCTCTAATAATATTAAAATTTGCAGATTAAAACAAAAAAAAGGTTGTTATTTTTGGTATAAAATATGATTGAGTAGTAATAAAGAGACAAAAATGTAATTGTATTTTATATAGTTAGACAAAAACAAGTGCAGGCAGGCAGTTACTTATACTAACTTTGATTCTTCAATTTCCAATAGTTTCATGTCATTTTCCAATAACTCAAGTTTACGATAAAAAGTGCAGCCACCTTTTTTATTTAACAAATATTAGCAAGTACAATTCATGGGTTGTATAAACCATATACTTGAAAGTGACTAACTCATTATTTTAACCAAATTAGTATAAAGCAGTCAAATCACTGACATTTTTCTACAAATAGAAAAAGCTATGTTGCATACTTAAATAATATTTTTTTTCTTTTTTCATTTTCTTAAAAATTATTTGGAAAGTTTTCAAAATTAACCCCTTACGTTTTCAAGTTTTTCGTGTTTTCCCCCTATATTCAGGTCAGGATGAATTGAAAGCTATGTAGTAGGATTTAATTCTAAAGATAACATGGAAAAATAGAAATATGTTGTCAATAAATTCAATATCGGATATTGCAAAATAGAAATATTATGTCAATAAATTCAATATCGAATATTGCAAGTTGAACATTTATTTCGAGAAAATTTGGCTAATGAATCCATTTGAGTTGCCAATTGGTGAAATAGCCTTCTTTGATAACGTTTCACACAGGGGCGACTCAAACATATCAGTGATCTAAAATCAAATTCGAACAAAGGTCTTAAATTTTGATTTTTTTTTTTTTTAAATGAAGTTTATTATAGTCGATCCATATATTTTTGAGACATAGTATTTTAGATTTATCAAACTTCAAATAATTTTTCCACTTATATGAAAAATTTATATTTGTTATCGATAAAACTTAATATTCTATAATTTGTTATTACTTAAAGAAAAAAACCCCTCAAATTTGAAGACCTAAAACAACTGTTTTTTTTAGGCACGTAAAGCCGCCACTAGTTCCATACACCAAGAAAATATTGAATGTGTACCTAACCATAAGAATAGAACCTTCAAATTTCATGACTAAATGCTCATTTATTTTATGAGTAAAGAGATGGAAGTATAGTTCATCTATTATTGCTAAGATTACAATTTAGTTTTCAATCAAGTTTGTCTAAATACACACTAACATGACGACGAAAGAACTCACATTTGGAATAATAAGTCACATTAAAATATTACTATAATTAGGGAATAAATTAGATCTCAAATTGTAGAAACTTGAGATCTAGATATTCAACAAATTAATATGGCCTCAAAGGCAAAACTAAAATATGTTTTATCACTCCAAATATTTCTGAGATCGATGAGAAATGGGAAAATAATATCGTACAATAAAGCTTTGGTCTATACTCACTACACTTTGAATGATCGCAATTAATTAACGGCGATAACTTAATTGCCATTAAATATATTTTTAACACTTTTTCTAAATGTTTCTAAAGCCTGCAGTGACGTTGAATCCAATGATAATTAATTAATATCGATAAAGACTTTATCATTCTTTATTAATATGCATATTATTGATGTTAAAAATTATTTTTATTGTAGTGGCTAATGTATTTAGCTAGGGAGTTAGGAAGCCACTGAAGAAAATTTCAGAAGTATAGGGGTGTGAAGTGTAAAAGCAGATCAACAAAGGGGTAAAATGAAAACAAACTAAACAAACAAAAGAAAAAAGATATTATGACAAGGTGGCGTAGTTTAAGGAATATAGCGTCATGTCCACATCAGATTAAACTTTGCTGCATTATGATCTGTCTCGAGTTTCGACACTGCTGCGAGGCGGAGTCAGGATTAAGAATTTGATGTTTCTAAAATTACAGATTAAACTTTGCTGTCTCGACATTGCTGCCAATTCAGAGTCGAAGCCAAGATTAAGAATTTTTGGGTTCTAAAATTAGGAGTTTGGAGTTTCTAAGTTTTTTTTAAAATTAAAAAGAGAAACTTTTTGTTGATAGTTGGGTTTGAGAATCCACAACTCTAGCGTGAAAAGTATTTTCACAAGTTAATATACATACATATATAGTTATTTAATTTTCTACTATAAATACAGGATCTACAGAAAAACTATTGAATTCGTCCAAACTCACAAACCTCCACTTAGCTTCACCTTTGATTGCCATCCTACTTTGATTATGATATATGGCCGCTTTGTTTTCAATACTATAAAACCAACCAAGGCAAGTATCAATAACGGGTGTAGCGGAATGGATGAGATTTTTTTATTTTTTTTTATGTTTAATGTTTAAGTTATGAGAATTGTGTTATATTTAACCAGAAATGTTTTAACATACGTAGTTGAAATTCGAATAAGCAGTAAATTTCAAATAGATAATGATTATTTTAACATTTTTTTCTTAGAAAAACGAAAAATAAAAAACGGTTCTTGTTGGTAGTGACATGGTGGCCACTATCTCAAATCATGATCATTTGTGAATCATCGATCATGCTTCTACTTTTTGTTCACAGTACATGTTTTTTTGTTTTTTTTTTCCCTTTGTTTGTTTAGTCTAAGATTGATTTTGATGCAGTTAAGATTGTTTGGTTTGTATTAATTATAACTTACACAAGGATTTTTGACATCATCGGAGTAAAGAAGAATTGGTTAATGGAGAATTGAATCCATCCGTAGAGGACATTAATTTCTTAATTCATTTTAGATTAATTAAATTTGGAAAGATTAATTCAGTAGGCGTTTGTACATTAACAAAAAAATGATGTGATATTTGAAGAAGAAGAGCATTTGGAAAATAATTGTAAACGAGTACTACAAAATTAGTCAAATATTGATGATTTGTTAATGTTTTGCTCTAATGTGCATGTTATTAAAGAGATTAAAAGACTATGTTTAGTTGTAAATCCTTTTGATTCGAAAATTATGTCACGATCCAAAATCAACGATCATGATCAATATTAAATTGACAAGCCTAACTCGTCGAGTTAACCAATTATAAACTTAGATCTCCGTGACAAACACATATAAAGAGTGGTCCAAATCTGTGTCAGATGCGCCGCTTCTCGTAATGTCATCATTTAACTAATATGAATTAGCAAAACTATTTAATTTGTTCATAGTATTATTAGTATAGTAGTAGCATTTTCTTGTGTGCATTTCCACGTGCAAACCACTTCTCATTTACTTCCATAAGGCAGCTTTTTAAACTCAAACATGACACCCTCTTTAAACACTCCTTAATTATAAATTTATAATGATACTAAAACTAATATATAATCATTATTGATAGAAATAATTAAATTAAAATAACAGCACGCCTAGTAGTTTTTCAACTGATTGGTACGTACGGAATCGATCTATTCAGGTAATATGCGGCCTACTATACCTTTCTAGAATGACTGAATCACTATAAGAAAAGCCATGCAAACTCATTTCATTTTCACTTTAAATTATTGTGCAACAAGATTCCTCTTTCTGGCCCACATCTCGACTAATTTTACGGTGTACTAGTAACTTTGCATAGAAGAAATCACCTAATGTAACGCATCTTGATTAATTTCATGGTGTATATATTAATAATTCTGGATAGGAGAAATCACCTAATGTATTTTATCTCCGAGGTTTGAACCTAAGACCTGAATCCACTTTGTTGACCACAAGGTTACATTGGTACACTTTCTTATTTCTTTCCTATACATTTTTATTTATTTATTGAAATACCCATTAACAAAGAAAAGGAAAACCTAATTAATCATTCTTCACCATGCAACATCTGTAAGCACAGAAAAGCTTAAGTTAAAGTTCAAGAAACCCTAATTCCCTCCATTAACACTAGAAATTGCTATAAATACCAGCTTCCTCTTGCCTTATTTCATGTTAAGAATTTAAACATCAAGGAAAATGACAACATCTTTTATTAGCCTCTCAACTTACTTCTTCATCTTCTTCTTTCTTTCTAGTGCATTGCTTCATTTCAACCAATGCTATGCAAAGGGAAAAAAACCTTCTTATTCCTTGGTGTTAAGCTTAACTCAAACGAAAACCAGCCTTACGATACCTAAATCATCGTATAATTTAGTGAAAAAAAACTCAGAAACATTGGACATAAGGGAGCCATTGAGAGAAGTGAGAGATGGTTATTTGATATCTTTGAATATAGGAACACCCCCACAAATTATCCAAGTGTATATGGATACTGGAAGTGACCTTACTTGGGTACCTTGTGGGAACCTATCATTTGATTGTATAGATTGTGATGACTACAGGGATCACAAGCTAATGTCAAGCTTTTCTCCTTCATTTTCATCTTCTTCCTATAGGGATTTATGTGGTAGTTCCTCTTGTATCGATATCCATAGCTCCGATAATCCTTTTGATCAATGTACTATTGCTGGATGTTCATTGAATAGTCTACTTAAGGGCACTTGTTCTAGGCCATGTCCTTCTTTTGCTTACACATATGGTGAAGGTATCGTATCGGGAACCCTAACTAGAGATACTCTTCGAGTCCATGGGACTAGTTCAAACCCTAATTCCATTAGGGAAGTCCCAAAGTTTGTCTTTGGATGTGTTGGAACAACTTATAGAGAGCCTATTGGGATTGTAGGGTTTGGTAAAGGGCCACTTTCTTTACCTTCACAATTAGGGTTTCTTCAAAAGGGTTTTTCACATTGCTTCTTGCCTTTCAAGTTTGCAAATAACCCTAATATATCTAGTCCTCTAGTTGTAGGGGATCAAGCCATTTCCTTCAAAGAAAATTTCCAATTTACTCCTATGTTGAAAAGCCCTATGTACCCTAATTTCTATTACATTGGCTTAGAAGCTATAACTGTGGGAAATGGTGCCACTACACAAGTTCCCTTAACCTTGAGAGAATTTGATTCTTTAGGCAATGGAGGAATGTTGATTGATTCCGGAACCACTTACACTCACCTACCTGAACCATTCTACTCGAATCTTCTCACCGCCCTTCGATCATCCATAAATTACCCACGTGCTGAGGATATCGAGGCACGGACAGGGTTTGACCTATGTTATAGGCTCCCATGCCCTAATAACAATCTTAATAGTCTAGTTACCGATGATTTCCCTTCAATAACATTCCATTTCTTGAATAATGTTAGCCTTGTTTTGCCTAATGGGAACAATTTCTATGCCATGGGTGCACCACGAAACTCAACAGTGGTGAAATGTTTGTTGTTCCAAAGCATGGAAGATTCCGAAGAAGGGCCAGCTGGGATTTTCGGAAACTTCCAACAACAAAATGTGGAAGTTGTGTATGATTTGGAGAAAGAAAGGATTGGGTTTCAAACTACTGACTGTGCCTCAGCTGCAACTTCTCAAGGGCTTCACAAGACATAGCTACATAAATAATTATTAATGAAAGCAATTGGATTCAGCTAGCTGCTTTTGTGTCCAATAAAAACTATACATATATGGATGGACCTCAGCTAGGAGCTGTAATTTTAAATTTAGTGCTTTTGTTTTATGATGTTCTTGTGTATTGTTGAAGAAAGTTTAACAAAAAAAAAAGAAGATGAATATCGTTCAGTCCAAAGGACTGAGCTGGATGTATTCTAGTTGCTGGGAAATAAAGAATCATTTTGAATTGTATCTGCAATACTTTCAACAATATGACATATCTATCATTTTTATATTTATTTTAATATAGCGAAAACAGTACCAACATGCATATGCATTACATAATAAGGATTATTGATACAACAACATGTATATCCGTGTAACCCCACAAGTGAGATCCTGAGAAATTGATAAGAAACTAATTTTGTAGAGGTTGAGAAACAGATTGTTAAGATTTTACGTAGGAATAGATGTATATTCTTGTATTGCTACAAAGAATTGGGATAAAAATCCTACAATTTTATTACTGTAATGTATATGCTACTATACATATATAGTTCATATAATTTATAGAAGAAAAGTAAAAAAAAATGTTTTACCTTCGAACAATAATTAAAACGAAAACTATAAAATGTGAATCACTTAGTTTTTCACTGGGAAGATAGAGAAAATATGCTTTAGTTATTAATAAGGAATAGAACAGATAAAAGGGGACAGTAAGTCAGTGATATTGGAACTTCCTTTGGGTCGACTTTGAGGTTTTAGTTTAGAGTTTCAAATGCTTTTTGTCTTCTTCAAGGTTAAAAAAGACGAATGAAATTGCAAAAAGGTACTCGTGGGAAGTAGATTGGCATCTTGAAACAGCAATAAAGTTGCCCTCCTCCAGACGCGGGATACTTTATGCACCAAATTGCCCTTTTCATTCTCATACTATATTGTTTGTTCTTAAATCTTTGATTAGTTGAGTTTCTTCGGCATAGTTTATCATCTTAATATCATTTCGATTAATTTAATTACCAAAGAGGAAGATACATCCCAATGGAAGTGGTTGATATTTAGTAACTATTCATATAGTACTAAAGATCATATATCTATATATCATTAGAAAGCATAGACATAATCTAAAACAAGTAGTACTTGTCTATATTCAGATTGATCAACTCAGCTATCAGTTATCCTCTAAAACAATATTTCAGTATAACAGCCAGGTTGATTTCTTTTGGAACCGACTTTATTCAATGCTCTATAATAATCTATATAGCAGTCAAAAAATATACAAACGAACGTCACTACGTCATTATAGGGAAGTTTGATTGTCTATGAATAGCTGATGGCTGATTCATAAGTCCCTCCGATACTACTATTACTACACATCAATCTCAAACGACTGACAGACCCAATGAATATTAAATAGTTATATGATGCATATATTGTTTAATAGCATACTGAAGCATGTCACAGAATCTCATTACATTAGGAGGATCCATAGAAAAGAGTTCAGCACATTGAAGATTTTTTTCATGAAATCTGTACAGTGATGGACCATGGGCACAACGAACTCTAACAATCAGCACAAACAAATTAAGCAAAAACAACATTGAGATGAGAAGCACCAGCAGAGATTTAAGAGCAACAAGAAGCAGTAGCCGGTGTTTGAGCAGGCCTGTCCATAAGAACCATCCCAGATGGATTTTGTGCTGGCTGAAGCCGAGGCAGTCTCTTTGCTGCAAGTGAACAAACAGTTCAAGAGATATTCAGGTTGATAAAAATGCTAGGTTGTTTCCAGATATATACAGCAATTAGTCAGACAAAATCCAACTTGGTGAGACTATTGCAGAGGAATTTAATAGGTAAGATTAACCACCACAACATTTGGAAGTTCCAAAGGAACCAGTTATTCACTATATGGCGAGATGTTTATTCTTGAGAATGATAGAATTTAAGAGTGATTTTACAATCAAACGTGTTTTATATATATCCAAAGCCTGAGAAGTAACAATTTCGAAAGCATTCTTGTCATTTCTATGATCACATACATGTATCGCTAATACCATGTATCATTATCCACATTGAATTGCCATTTATGATAATGTCAATTTCACCCATAGATAATACATGGTTTATTAATTAGTGGATTGGAAATGCCAACAAAAAATTATACTATATATGTCGAGTACTAGTATTACTTCCAAGTAAAACATCTAACCAATCTAAAGATCCAAAAACAGAATAAACACCACATTTTAAATCATCTAGTGACCTACTCATCAAAAACAATCCTCCATAACTAGTTTAATAATTTCTAGTTCCTCTACTTTATTTTTATTTTTTGTTCCCAGTCACGACATGTCATACAAAATGCATATAAGTAGTGGTTAAAAACTGATAACACAACAATAGTGATATGTGTAGCCAATAAGAGCATAAACATGACTGATCTACCACAAATGCTATCTGGCAGTCCAAAACACAACAAAATGAATGCAAGTATTTACCTATTTCAGAGAAAACGTCATTAACATTAGATGCAGTTTTTGCAGATGTTTCCATGAAGAACAGACCATTCTCCTCCGCATATGTTTGTGCTTCCTGAAAAAGCAATAATACCATCATATCAGTACTGATGTATTTCAGTGAAAAATCTGTTATTCAGAATACTAGTTCAGACACAATGATAATTGAGCAAGAACTTTTGAGATCTTCTGGATGCACATTTAAGAAATTGAATAGATAACACCAAATCTCATAGACAGAAGTCTATATTTGTAAAATGGGTCACTGACATAAAAAAATTGACTCACTAACCAACTGACCTTTAGACCACGATATTATTTTTAACTATCCACCTAGATTATTAGAAAAAAATCCAATGATTGTCTAATGCTTTTTTCTACATTTACATCCAAAATGCCAGTTAGGACATAGCTAGGTTAGGAACTGCAAATGAGTTTAGTCCCCAAGGGCATGACCTAACAGTCAAAGAGATCTTGGAAACCAATCCCAGTAGATAGAACACTATGTGAGTTCTACCCATATACCTAAACTTTAGTTAGTATACTTACCCAGTACCCATGCTGGTGAGAAATATAGATAAACCCAAATAATTAGTCAAGGTGCACAATTATCCCTAGACCGCCTAAATCCCATTCTAGTTTGGGGTTTGACTATTTGAATCCCCATTATACATATTGTTCCATTTGAACAAATTCCATCCCAATAACCAATAATATAGGTTCTCTAACAGTAGAAATTCTCTAAATTTTTCTACTGACATACAAATCTCACTCAATCAAGTGTATCCAAAACCATCATTCGTCATGATACAAACTAAAGATATCACTAATACGGATCTTCAGCATTAAATATAAAACTTAAAATTAAGGCAAAATCAAGCTAGAAAAGTGAGCAGGCAGAGATATTTCAGTTAAGAATCTAGAACAATGCCAAACTACAGTGAAAGAAATGAAACAAGAGGAAAAGTTCTAATGAAAATGCAGAATTGAATGGGAAGCAGAATTGCTCAACTCTAACAAACCTGAGACTTTTCAACAAGATCCCATAGGAAAATATCAATGCATGTTTAAATTATTATCTGTGTGCCTAGATTTACCCACTTTCACCAAATTTGTTTTACTTTTTGATAACTGAGAAATCTCCGATAGTTAGCGGTCACATGGTTCGAAACTCAGTGGATAATGGGTCCACCCCTCTACTATTCTCCATTTAAATACCAGGCTTTTGTCCATTCATCACATGTTGCACTCTTACTACTAGACCAAAATTAGGGTGCATCTCTTGGGGGGTTGATAAGAAGGGTGCTCCACTGTTGGTTTTTAAAATAAAGAGAATTACTGGGTATGTTGTTTTTGCCAAACCACATTGCGAATTATACCTTAAACTCTCCTTGTGCTTTATACTCTTAACATCCTTGATGTATTGGAATTGTTAATATATTTTCCTTGTGATTATTGGCAACTTCCAGCCAATAAGAGCCTTGTTCTTTTCTTTGTGAGTTGGAGAGAGAAGTTGGAAAAGTATCCACACAGATGAATAACCTATTCCTAAACAACAGTAGCCCTCTCTGCCACTACTAAACACTCTCTCCCAACAAAAGGTTGCCAATATTACCTTCTCTTCCCCTTCGCTGTCTATATATGACTACAATTCCAACTCTCTTTAGCATTCTGAAAAAAGGAACAATAACTACAACAAAATAGTGCGATAATCGGAAACAACCTCTCTACCTCCCAATGTATGCGGGCAAGGTCTGCATACACTCTACCCTCCCCACCCCAGATCCCTTGTGGATTTAAACTGGGTATATGATGTTGTTGTTGTTCCTCTTCAGCCATCCAACACCACTTTCTCCCTGTCCCCAATAATTCCCACTTTTTCCTCTTCGCTTCTTACAGGTCCTTGAAGATTTCATCCCCCCCCCCCCCCCACCCCCACATTTGCCAAAGAGTATTCCTAATAAAAAATTTGTATATATACATGCATCCTTCATTTTCTTTACCATATCTATGTCAAAGAGGTATGATATGAGTACCGTACTTGCAGAAGATTCTTTAAAAGACACTAAACCCCACCCCCAAAAAAATAAAAAGAAAAATGTACCTTTAGTCCTTTACTGAATACTTACACAGTTCCATATATCGGGTTACCAGTAGCAGCCAGTGTAACGTCGGTCTACCTTCCTTCCCTGAGTTTTTTGGTTTTTTCTTTATTTTATCTTTGCTTTGCTTGGTCGTTTATTTCTTATCGTTTCTTTTCTTTTCTTTTCTTACTTTAATTTCATATTGTGTTTGCAATAACATTTTCCCACTCATTCATATGAAATATAGTACTTTTTTTGGTGAGGTTTCTGACATTAGGTGGTTGAATCTTTGAAGGATGCGCGTCCAATACAAAATGGAAATAAAATTGGCACAAGAAATTGCAAGTATAATATGTGCTTACTTCAAAATTAGAAATTTCGAATCAGCAACCAAGAAAAACTGACATTTTAATTTGAACCGAACAAGAAAGTTATTTTCATTTCAGACCAGGATCTAAGGGTAGGAATTAAATTGCTCTCCTCTGAATCCAGTTCAAGGGGATTCTTATTGAGGCATCAGCACTTAGGCACAATTAGCACACTTATCTGTATCTGGTATCCAAGCCGATTGGACAGATGAGAACCATCACTCTATTTTCATGCTCAGTTAATGAGCTTCAGATCATTGTTATACATGACATCTCACCCACTACAAAGATAAACCCCGAAGATACTAAGCTATTATAGCCTTAAAAATATCAAGTACGAAATGCAATTTAGTTGTTATGCACACTAGCATGCAAATGAGGATATCAATGTTTTATCCTAGAAAATGAAGTTACTCTATACCGCTTTAGAACAAAAGATCCATTAATCGTGAAATGAAAAGGCACTATTTTGGGATATATTACACTTCTATCTTAAAAAGTGATCAAATCAATTAAAATAATAAAATTCGGTTCTCATTCTTTATTTCGCGCTGCAATTAAAGATTGCACATCAATATTTTTTCATCAACTCTAACTGACTGAGAGAGTGAGTGGCAGGCGAGGACCCAATTGCTTCAAAAAGCAACCCAAAAAAAGAAAGGGACAGCGGGGAAAGGGAAAAAAGAAACATAAAAGAGCAGGCCAACAATGAAGCTTTAAGCATGTGTGTCTTGTTAATTTCAATGACCGGTTTTACTTTTCAAGTATGGGCAGTAACATGAGAAGGAGAAAATCACACTGGATACCTCAACCCCTTAGGGTACAGCTTCTAAATCCTGAATGTTATTAGATTCAACTGGTTATCTCAGGCTTGTAGTTGAAACTATCACTCACCCAACTCTTAGATAATTGGACATGTTTACAACATCATATGCCTAAATTGACAGCCTATTCTCTGGCTAGGCCTTTCGTTTTGTGGTGCTTCCGCACATCACTAACTATAGCATGGAAAACTGTGATTAGTTAGAGGAATAAAATGCACTAACCTCAGCAACCACTTTTCTTGCATCTAACAAATCGGCCTTATTTCCGGCAAGTGCCATCACCATATTTGGATTACCTGGGGCCAGCGTGAGATAGAAAAAAGTAAGACATATGAACAGGCAATATGTTTCATTCAAAGAACACTGATGTATGCATCACGTGAGAAAAGGAACCAGTGCTTAGTTCCTTTGATATGGTTGTGTGACAACTTTCAAGTTCAGACAACCATGGGTGAAGCACTATTTCCAATCCATCCCCTCATATTACCCACCAATTGAGAGCCAAAAGTTAAAAGAGTTTTTCAGCTTTTTTTGGCCATCAAACTTTATCGTAACTCAAGCAGCTGAAACTCTCCCTAATTATACATCAACTATTTCTTACATTAATTGAAGTTAGGAACATTTAAATACAGCCTTACAATAATGAGTCTTAAGATGTCAAAGGTACCTTGTGCTTGAAGCTCCTGAACCCATTTTTTTGCTCTATCAAATGATGCCTATCAATAATGAATTGAGAATCTTAGTTACCAAAGCTAACATGCTAGCACCTACTGACAGCAGTATAGACTGAATTATAAGGATTTGACAGAATCTGGTTAAAAAACTTACTTGATTTGTTATATCATAAACAATTATAGCAGCTGCAGCTCCTCTGTAATACATTGGAGCTAGACTGTGGTATCTCTCTTGGCCTGCTGTATCCCATATTTCAAATTTTACAGTTGCTTCATTTACTGCTACTGTTTGGGAGAAAAATGCAGCACCTATGGTTGATTCCTACATAAAACATAAGCAAGTTATGTCAAGTCTCAAGGTCCCAATTTTAAAAACGTAAGTTCAGAAACCATTCTTCACATATCAAATGGTAAACTAAGCACCTACCTGAAATTCAATAAATTGTCCTCTAACAAAACGCAGAACTAGACTAGATTTTCCAGCTCCAACATCCCCAAGGAGCACCTAAAACCAAAAGACACTTCATTAGTTTATCAGTGTCAGGGTCAACACATCAAGTTCATAAACCTGCAGTTCAGAAAAAACTACATCATTAGAATAATCCTTTTTTTATCAGGACCACGTCATTAGAATAAGTGAAACAATGATCCCCTAGTGTAAAGTGTATTTATTGAAACAGAACACCAAACATTAAAAGATGGAAGCAGTAAATGGGGAAAAGGAGCACAGAAATATTGAAATTCAAGATCGGAAGTACTAATCAATAATCACAGTAAGAATAACATGGATTATCATGAACAATAGGTACGCACTTGAAGAAGTAAAAGAGGATTCCAAGTCATGGAAAAAGGAAGTATAATATATTCCAAACAAGCAACACTTCCACAACATAGCTCCACAACATAGCATCAGATAATAACCAAGTGAAAGATCAAATTTAGCAAATTAGAGTACAAAAAAACAAAAATTATCAGCAAGGCAAAATTTTGAGAAAGAAAAAAAACCCATATCCAATTTTTTGATATAAAACACAAAGCGCAATAAATCATTCAAATTGAGGAACTTTTTGTGATCAAACCCAAAATAAACAAAATACTATAGGTCATGAGTTATGATTCTGAAGAATTAAAGAGGACCCAGATCAGATATAGCAAAAAGAAAGAATCTTTCTGAAATTTGAAGCTAAACCCATAAGCAGAATTGATAAATTAAATATGAGAAGGAAGCACACCAATTTGGCGTTCATATTCTTGTTTCCACTGGTCGCCATGGCTATGATTGATCAAAATTGGGAAAGCGGAAAGTGATTTTTTGGAGATTTAACGATTGTTTCGATTAGGGTTCTGATCAGAATTTAGACTTCACAAAGACGGAAGAGGAAGAAGAAGAAGGGTTGACGTCAAGAAATTGCAAAAAAAAAGGGACACTCAACCAAAGTTGTTTCTCTCTCTTGTTGATGAATAATGATGAAGAAAAGATTCTTTTTATTTTATCTCGAAATTTCCTCATTTTTTTAGTCGTTTGAATTTTTCTATAAAACAGAAAAAAGAAAAAATAATGCAAATTTGCTACGTATTTTTCCACCATCCATCCACCTTTTCCTCTTTTTCCATCTCATCAATAAATGAAAAAAAGTATAGGAAGGTTTAAACGTAAGATATAATGGAAGCTTAGTAGGTAGTTGTGTGATTTATCTAATACTTTTACGTGAATGAGACGTGAAAGTCTCCCTTTTTTCCCTTCTTATTAGTAATAAATATAGTATAGTATTTTTTTACTTTTTTTTTTGTTAATTATTGTTTTATTAGTTGTGTTTATCTTGTCATTTTGTCATCATTATTTTGCATTTTAACTTGTTTAGTTTCATTAGTTGTGTTTATTTTTCCATTTTAATATTGTTATCTTTTAAATTGTTTTGGTAGTTCTAATAAATATAATATAATGTGTCATTGTATGATGAGGGTCTACCAATAATAGTGTATCTATCCTATAAAGGTAGAAAACGAGATTTTGTTTTGATATAAACATTGGTCATACATAAATAAAACTTGATAAATGGGGTAGAATTAAAAATTACAAACTTGAATGAGTTGCACGTAATTAACCCAACCGGGGCCCTTTTTTATTGTTTTGAGTAATAACACGCCAACGCTTACCTACTACTTTGACTTCTATTAGAACCTCTGCTTAGTGTCGGCAAGCAGTAAGTACGAAAAAAAAAATAACTAAAGATTGTAGTAATAAAAACAACCATTTTGGAGGTCTCAAGTTCGAAATCTCTTACCAACAAAAACAAGGGGTTTGCCTTCTGGGTCGAGCTCGTCGCACCAGGCTTGCCTAGTGCGGGTTACCTCTCCTATGTGGTTTGCGAGCTATTGCATAGGACCGGTGGTTTTACCCTGTGCGCACCCAAAGGGTAGCGGCTGCGGATTTCCCTTGTCGTAAAAAAAAAAAAAAAAACTAATAATATATCCAACATAAAGCATATGGAGTTAAACTTGAATAAAATTAAAGGAGAGTAATGCAGGTGGTTTTGCCTGTCCCTAATAATGAGGTATGTTCTGGTACTATACACAGATGGGGAAAAGGCAAGAGTTGTGTGTTATATCTCCACTAACAAAGGGGTTGGCTGCTAAGTGCTAAGTGCTAAGTGACTCGAATAAGTAATACAACCATGACAAAGACTAATGTCATGACAAAAATCAAAAGCCACTGGAAGCATGTAGTCTTGAAACTCCGAGAATAGACGTCCATAGCTCTGGAAGTTGCATGCCCTGTACTTGCCAGACTATGCTCAACTGCTTTCTCAGTTGAATCGAGTATCTGCATCCACATTGTATATGAAAACTATGAGGACAATATAAACAAAGTGACTAGTAAATCCAGAGACTGAGGGAAGAAGTCTGTAACTAGACAAGATGAATCTGAATAAATTGAGTACTAACTGTTTTTTGTTTCTATTTCGCACTGAATTAGTAAAGAATCCTCAAACATATTGTAATATCAGAGGAAGACTAATAAATATTGTTGTGTCAGAAAAGAAAAGATAGTTTGAGCTACCAATGGCCTCAATTGCCTCCTTAAGAGACAATATAGTTTAGATTGTAGATGGCAAATTCATTCTCAAAGCAAAAACGGTTTGAGGAAGTTCCCATCAATTTAAGCAAAGTGAAACGAAACAAAAGACTTACTTTCTCAGTATTTTTGATGGATTGATTCATCATGAGACTGCTCTCTTTGAGCTGCCGTGCCAAAACAACCATTTCATCAGTCAAATCCTCCTGAAGTTTCCTGCAAAAGATGACAACATCTGATAGTTTATCAAGTAGACTCTACCAAATAGTCAACTAACCTCACCCCTCTCTGAGAATAAATATTGCACAAATAAGTGATTACTTTCTCTGGTTACTTTTCTCCTACAATGAAAAAACTGGACAAACATATGGCAGTGGCAAAGAGTATGCCCCAGCCATGAGTCAGTCTAGGATTTATCTTACCATCTCTAAAATTAAAACAGAACTTAATTTTGAATTCTACAGATGAAGTCTAAACTATAGGAGGAAACAACAACATTTGTGCACCAATGTTCATCTATATACCATAATTTGCATCAACAACCTTCCCCACCAAGTGTCATCTTCTTGGTTCTATCTTCACAACCGTTTCCAACTCCCACATTCCACACACACACCTTTTCCTCTCTTTTTTCAGTATTAACACAACTTTTTGACTTGTGGTTGCCTTCCCATGAAATGTTCTTTTTTCTTTTGTCCAAATATTTCAAAAATTTATCAAGGCACTAGAAACAAAGACATAAAGTAGGGTGGACTGATGTCTAACTCTAATCAACTGTTTATGAGTTAATCTTCCCCACATTGACAAATATTTTTTCTTTCAATTTGCTAACCTTTTTCAAATTTCTCATGTACTTCAATAGAACTATGCTTTTCTCTTAAAGGGAGCTCCGAATACATTGAATTCTCCAACTTTTGCACCCAGATATATTTGCAAGTGTTAGCTTATAATCCATACTACTAATAGGATACATCATACGTTGCTTAGGTTTATATTCAAACCTGAAACAACTTTCATAGCCAAATCGACCACCTTAAGGAACATCATATGTTTTTCCTTGTTTAACACATTAACAGTGCATCATTCGCGTAGAAACTATGTGAGTTTTTATGTTAGTCTTCTTATTTTTCCAAAAAGATAGATTTCAAGTTATTGTCCTCTGGACCTACTTTAAATCCACTAAAACATCATTTCTCCATTGTCTAGTCTAACATTCCACCAAGACATTTCAGTAACAGGAATGGGAAGAAGATCTGCCTAGCTCGAGATAAGAAAAATCAGCATAACTCCTATTTACTAATGTAGAAAATTTAACAGAGAAACACAATAGTTTATCCAACTCCTGATTTCTATCAAAATCCATCTCTTTAATCAAAACCGAACTTAACAGAGAAACACAATAGTTTATCCAAGTCCTCGATTTCTATCAAAATCCATCTCTTTAAGCAAAACCGACCACTTCACATGGCCACTTCTCCACATCTAATTTACAACGGACACCTACTTTTCATTGTCTTCTGCCTCCATCCATAAAAACATAGTGACATTGAACTACTATAGGAAATATTAACTTCGACCTTACAAATACCTATGTTAGTATGTTATCCATGAGAATACTCCCATAAATCTTTTTGAGTTTTTTTCTTCTTTTTTTTTTTTTTTGGGGGGTGGGGGGGGGGGTGGGGGGTGGGGGTTAGAGTATTCCTACACTGTTCTGCTTATATTTAACTAGATCAATTACACCATAAGAGCAGATATCTATTACACCTTTTTTTTAGATGGCACATACATACTACACTTTTAGTCACACATGGCAAGCTGTACCTTCTCAGGAACAGATACACATTGGGAAAGCCTTGGTGGAACAGAAGTCAACAAACAAAAAAAACTGTCTATAAATATTAATACAGAAAAGAAGTACAGATAGAGCACCTATGCTTCTCAATATGTGTCCATGCAGCATCATCCAGTTTGACTGCAGCTGATGATTGATCAGAATCAATGGTATCTCGAGATCTCTCCTCATTGTTTGAATGGACCCTGTTTCATTCAAAGAACAACGGTCAAGAGAGAGAATTATAAAATGACACATTACAATGGCTAAAATACAGGTACCCAAATCTTCTTCTCAATCCTTCAGAAGCAGAATTCACACTTTCTTCTGCTTTAGGAGTTCCACTGCTGGAAGTCTCACCCACAGGTTCCTCGGGTGTATGCATATCAGACTGGACGTGGTTGAAGATAATTTATTTGTTAATCATATAAATAGAAGCAAGAAATTTTTCAAATAACTACTAGCATATGTTTATAATAAGTTGAAAGGTAACTCCAGAAGAGAAGACTTAAGTCTGAACCACGTTCATAAGGATAATGAAGTCTGAAATGCTGAGCTCTATGGACTAAAAGCAAATAATAAGGCACTAAACTTCAAGTACAGTCTATTTGATTTTTTAAAAAATGGCAGCTCCTTCATATTCCATCAAAATCAGTAAAATACCTCAATATGATATGTTTTCATATAAGAAAGCAAGGTGAATCTGAATGGTAAATCACAAGAAATGACACTAGCACGTGCATACCATGGGCACAGCTAACTTGGCAGCAACAGCTTCAATGTTCTCAGCATATTCATTCACCTTGGCTTTTGAAACCCTATATTGGGATACAACATGAAAATTGAACACACATCAGGAAGAAAGCATCTAGTAAATTTATTTATTCTTTTTGAAAAAGAGATCCAATAAGAACATACACCCTCAAGCAAAGTATTTCAAGCATTAAATCAATCTATATTAGCTTTTTTAATACAGGAAAAACTCTCATGACTAGTCTATAGAAGTTCAAAACGTTCTCCTCACACAGTAAAGAAAAAATTTAGAGTTGTTAGAAGTATATGGCTAAAGTTCTATTCTAAACACAGGAAGACAATAATTCCTTTTATGTCATCCCTGGTCATTTCACAGATAACAAAAGCAGAAAAATGCAGAAAATAACTGCTTACACACACCACCAAACGGTCTGCATAGAGCATCATAACTTCCTCCATAGAAGGAGATAAAATAGACTAGTCATACTGTTAGGATGCGATTTTTTCATTTTAGGCAGGATATTAGTCAACTCTACAAAAAATATAACTAAAATATATGTCCAATTTGGAGGAGGGTAGGCAGAGTTGAGCTCAAAGGAGGGTGAGTTTCCATCTAACCGACCATGATAAGGGCTTTCCACTTTATTGATTAGGTAGAGTGAAAAGGCTAGGAAGAAGCATACATTTAAATTTAAATGATAATTCAAGCTAAACAAACAGAAAGCGGGGACTTTATAAAAAACAGTCACAGATAGTAAGGAAACCAACAGTCTGGAAATTTTGTAGCAGCATGTAGTTTTCTCTAAGTTGTCGGACTCTTCGATTTCAATGCCGCACCCGTGTCGGGTTCTTCAAAAATACACTATGGATGGAGAATCCGACACGCACCCCCTGACGATTTTGAAGAGTCCGAGCAACATAGAGTTTTCTTCAAATTATCTAATTGGAAAAGAACAAAGCATATAGACCTTGGTAATCCATCAGAATTCCTCTCGTCAGCCAACTGCTCCAGTAGTTCCCGCAAAGTGGCAACATACTGTGAAAGATGTAAAAAAAGGAAATAGTAAATGCATATACCCTATGAAGAAAAAATTCAGATGACAAAAATTGTACAAGCAATTGCCTATGCCATGATTTTCTGAAAAGCTTTTCATAGAAAGTAGAAAAAACCTATGCCACAAGTTGCAGCTGTATGCACAGAAAATTATCAACTTTCACATATAACAACTACATCAGAGAACATACAGCAGAAAAGGAATTCGGATGACAAAAATTGTACAAGCAATTGCCTATGCCATGATTTTCTGAAAAGCTTTTCATAGAAAGTAGAAAAAACCTATGCCACAAGTTGTAGCTGTATGCACAGAAAATTATCAACTTTCACATATAACAACTACATCAGAGAACATACAGCAGAAAAGGAAAGGATCAGCTTCCTGAAATAGAGGCTCCACCAGAGACATCAAAAAAACAGTTGATGCATGTTTGTTCAGAAGATTAGGGAAGACAAGGAGGTATTACTATGACTCTATCTCTCATCCTACATCTGATTAAAAAACTTCAGTAGGTGGCGGAGCCTTCCTGAGCCCTGTTCATCCTAGGTATGGTGATATTGCAGTACTACTAATCTTAATCACCATGTTGAGATCAGAAAATCAGAAAAGTACTTTTTCTCCAAAAAATATATTTGACAGGTAAATGTGTTGAAGGCATGCAAGTGGGGTACAACATTGTATACAAAATTTGTATTGCAAAGCCCAAAAAGATGTATCCTTAGAGAATGCAAGTACTCTGTATGCACTAAAGTCCCAATACTAAAGCCATAGAACACTATCATTTTCCATTATAGTTTTACTCAATAATAAACTAAAATAGGAGAATATATTTAACAAGGGACAGAGTTGACCATTAGCCTCTCTGTCCATCAAAGGCACAATGGTTCATCTTTTCCCAAACAGTCCATATAAAATTACTTGAGGAAAGACCCACTCAATCAGCCCAAGTAGGATGAAGATACATAGACTTCTTTATGGATGAACTCGTACTGGTATCAGAACAGTGGAAAACCTCGTTATCCTTCATTCTGTTGGTGAATCAACAGTGCCACCAGTTCACTTGAAGCTGCTCGAATATATAAAGCTTCCAAAATAGAAAGAAGACTTCCTTAAATGCTTACGGTCCACACAGATTATATGAGTTCCATTAAATAGCACAATTCATAAGTTCTTCAAAACCTCTAGCAAAATAATAGGCAAGAGGAAGAGAAAACAAAAAGATATCGAAAAGCATATAGCCATCAAACTACTGCTAGTCAATACCTATAAGGTTCATTTACACAGGCCTAGTGTTTCAAAGTTAGCTTCTCAAAGCATATCATGAAAGTCAAAGAAATGAGCCTCTGAAGTCTTAATACCCAGGAAATCAAGACTACCAGATGTCTTTGTTTTGTGTAACTATAACATGTGATTTAGATCGAGCACAACTTTTCCAAATTAGATAACCAGATATACCCACACTCGAAGACTGAAAAATGAAATGAAATTACAATCCAGATATACCCACACTCAAAGACTGAAAAATGAAACTAAATTACAAAAACCAATATTAGAGTGTAGGCATGTTACAGAAACAGAAAGATTAAGCCTTTAAGGACTAGAATCGTCTGTTCAAGAATATAATATCTTAATGTATACTATCAAAAAAAAAAGCACAATCAAATCAATGGGCTGATAAATTCACCATGTTCACGACAAATCTCACATACATGCAAACCCAAGCCATAGGGAAGAATGTAAAGAAAAATAAACAAACACAATTATCAATTCTTTAAAGTGTTGAACTCGAATGACCTGTGCATACATGTATAAGCTTTGCTTGATTTTGCTGCTGTGGTGCAGTTACAAGTAACCTCTTCAAGTTCACTTCAGTTTTGCTCAACCCCATGACACCCTTTGGGGAACTTGCTGTCAATAGCTGATCAAGAAAATCAAATCTTTCCGAACATGTCTGTAATCTAGCAAAAAATGTAGAACAATATGCAATTTTTCTACTCATTACATCAGATTATGTTTCTTCTTTATTTTAGAATTTCCATCTAGCTCTATCATGCACTTCTAGCTAATTCTTCACATCTTAAGACCACGAACTAACGAAGTGTACATAGTCCTAGTTTAAACGTTAATATTTCCTACTTCAATTGCTTAATAATCACATATTCAAAATATTTGTAATTCAAAACAAACTAATAATTGAAGCAGATTAATGGAGTAATCAACTTCACTACATAATAAATGCACCATGATCCAATCAAACAAAAAGGCCCACTTGAATGCATACTATAACCAACTCAGGAACTAGTCACTTTAATAAACAAATGTCCCTTTTTGAAATAATTATAGTCACATATGTTAATTTATTCATCTCTCTAAACAAACATGAAAACTACTAAGATAGCACTGTCACACCCCATTTTTAACCATAAAAGATAGATCTACGTTTTAAGTTCCAAAAGGGTTTCCAAGATTGAAAGTGACAAAAAATGTGTTTCAAAAGGGATTCATTTTTAAAATCGGAGTCGCCACTTTACATTGGATTTTGGTGTGCCAAGTCACTTTAATAAACAAATATCCCTTTTTAAACAAGTTTGACTCATAGACTGGTCAACGACAGAGATTCCTGTTAAGAAATTCTATTGAACGAGAGGAAGGTGTGAGGCACTCTTTGAGTCTCGTTGTTTTAGCACGGTCACTTTAGTTGACTTGTATGTGGTTTGTATTGGCTCAAATAGTAACTCATTTGGAAAAACTCAAAGAGATGTAATCACGGGCACCAAAAATGGGTTCAAAACAATATCTAAATTATTATAAACCGAAATGAAAGTACCTATCTTAGAATCCTACGCTACATGTCCATGAACAGCCTTCCTCCTTTACAAATATTCTTCGGGGCATTTTCCCAGGAAAAGTACATTAATTTTATTGAAAGCAAATAAAGACACATGCAATTAAACAGACCTAGAATTGCCTACCAACCCAAACACTATCTATCATCCGTAACAACCCAAAACTCCTTTTACTTGTTGAAACCCGAATTCAATATTTAGCAACACCCACGGTACGATCAATTCCATGAACCTGAGCTCAAACACTTTATTTAGTTTCAGATTACTTCCTACAATCCCTTTACTTTGTCTAACAACAAATACATTTAAAATCTAAATTCAATATCAATCCAAAATTTAACAGTGATAAGAACACTACATGAAGAAATATCACAGAAAAATCAAAGGCAAACATTTCAATTCGTAACACATAGATCTATTAAAATCCAAGCACTAATTAAATACTATAGGATTAGAAATGAACCTTCTGTATAGCTGAAATTCCATTCCAAAATTGAATCGAGCCGACACAGCAAAATGAACGAAGACCCAACAACAATGAAACTGAGTATATGCAATGCCAAGGACCAGGACCTGGAACCTTGACCGGACGACTAAACCTCGATCGGAACTTCAAACCATACAATCGAACCAACTCCTATGTCAAAACCAATACCATCGAGAGTTTACCCCGTCGTAATGGGATTACCAGGGAAGAAGTTCTAATGGATGATTTCAGATGAAGCTCACGTCCTTAATCGGATTCCCAGAGAATCAAGTTTGTTCACTCTGTTTCTGTATCCGTTTTTTTTCCCCAAAAATTTGTGCCTGTTCCTCCCTCCGAGTATGAATTTTGTTGTAAAATTTAAATGATGTCTTTTATTTACAAAATATAATTTATAAACTTATAATTCTGGGTTAAAAATGGATATAATATGGTGAATTAAAATATTTTGATATCTTGTTCATGAACTATGATTTGTTGATTTGGTAAGATTGAGTAAGAATTGAGAAAAATTTGATAGTTTTCGTAATTTGTGGGTTTTATGTTTATGAAAAAGATAAGTTAAGAAACCCAAATTATATGACCAATCAAATTTCAACTTCATATCAAATTTCAAATCATGATAGGTTATAACTTATAAGTATGATATGGGTATGGAAAACTTTTAAACTTGAGTTTGATAATTTGATTTTAAAAAATACTATACTATTATAAGAAGAACTTTCGCATATAGTCAATTAAAAATAGCTTAATTACGCTTCATAGTTATAGTTTGTTAATTACGATTCGTAGCTATATGTTATAAGGAGGAGAGTAGCGAGCGAGACTGGGAGAGGGAGGAGAGAGGTGAGCGAGAGAGGCCACAGAGTGGGAGAGAGGTGAATTGTATATATGTATATCAGTTAGATAATTGTATACTACACATATGTATTTGTATATATTCTAGCGAGCGAGATTAGGAGAGGGAGGAGAGAGGCGAGCGAGATTGGGACAGGGAGGAGAGAGGCGAGCGAGATTGGGACAGGGAGGAGAGAGGCGAGCGAGATTGGGACAGGGAGGAGAGAGGCGAGCGAGATTGGGACAGGGAGGAGAGAGGACAATAATTTGTATAATTCGCATCTCGTTTGTATAATTTGCATGTACGTTTGTATAATTCGCATCTCGTTTGTAAAATTTGCATGTACGTTTGTATAATTCACGTGTTTTTATATAATTGAGTAATATAAAGTCTGGAATTATACAAATGTAATAAAACTCGAAATAACGAATTGATGCAAACATAAACATATGAACTTTAAACAATTATACAAAATATATTATACAAATTACATTATATAAATTATATTATACAAAATCTGAAAACTACACATTTATACAAACTTTAAAAAGTTATACACAAAAAGATTGAACATATGTGATGACAAAATTAAAAAACCAAAGGAAATCATCGTCATATACAAATACAAATCATCGTATACAAATACAAATCAAACAAAAAATTGTTAGTTGCGAATTATACATATACAAACGTGGCTAATTATACAAACTGGAGTTTAGCCCACGTAACTAATGGTTAATGTTAGTTGCGAGTGGTAATTATAGCAAATTATAGCTATGATGAGTAATTAAGTTGTATAAATTTGATTAATCGTGTAATTTTCCCTTATTATAATACCAAATAAAAACTTGTGATTTTAAATATATTAGTAATATTTATGTGGTTATTTAATTCTACTTTTAAATAAACTTTCCATCACAAATTTTATTTTTTATTTTTGTAAAAGCAAAAATTGAATAGATTGATAAATCGAATAAAAAAAATGCTATCAATTTATTGCTATCGGGTTATTGGGTTAACGAGTTGTTAATGATTTTATAAAAAAAATTATTGACTTATCGTTCGATTTTTTTTTCAATTTTGGGGGATTGGGTAAACTGGTAACTCATTAAGACTATAATAATTTACTATTTACCCTACATAAATACTAAATATTATTTTTAGTACCTTATTGGTTGCCTTATCTAGGGGCTATTAAAAATCAAACCGAAACCGATAATTTGAACCGAAAAAAAGTTAGTGGTTTATCAATATTGGGTTATTGTTTTGCAGTTTTGATAACGGTTTTAATATTTTTTCTTATCGGGTTATCGGTTCTTAACGGTTTGAAGTTTTTTCTTAACGGGTTAACCGATAACCCGATAGTAAATTAAATAATTATATTTATACCATTTTGTATATAAAGTCTTTGACTTAGAGTTTGGTTTCCTGGTTATCTCAAACACTTAGTTATTCTACAATGTAAAAATGTTTGCTTTTGAGCAAGATGTAACTTGTGAACTCATGTGCATGATTCATTTGGTTTGTCACCTTGTTTCTAAGTGATTTTCAATGTTTTTTGTGTCAAATCTTAACGGTTAAACCGATAACGATCAAAAACCGATAAGTCAATATCTTAATGGTTTGATAACGATTTAGCATCTCTACCAACCGATAACCAATAATAAGCCAAACCGATAAACTTCAAAACCGAACCGAACTGATCGATACACAGCCCTAGGTCCTTATCCCTTTAGCATCCAATTCACATTTCACATTGACTTTGAGTTCACAACTTCACAGTATACAAAATGTCAAAATCTAAAATAGGAATCCAATTCCTCGTAATTTCTCTTGGTGTTACACTTATATAGTTCTTTTCATGTTAGTTATTATTGCATCAATTGTATGAGCATTTGTAAAGTTGCATTATTGTCTCGTCGCGTCAAATTGTTGGAGAAGTCATATATTTATTTTATAAACATTTTCTTATTGGTTAAACTGAAAGTGAACCGTTAGGAACCAAAACTGAAAATCGTTTAAAACTATTTTATTGATTTTGTTATTGGTTAGCATATGAGAAGTCAAATTACCCCCAAAAGGAATGACACAATTATGTATTTAATAAAAAAAATAACTTTTGAATTTTTATTTTACACCCAATGAAATGATTTACTGACATACAAATATTTATGACTTATTTAATACCATTTTTTTTAAACTTCATGGCAATTTAAACTACATCTCATAAATTGGAATGACGATTTAATTTTTTACTTAATATAAAAATGTGTCATTCTTTCAAGAATTGACTAAAAAAATGAGTCATATAAATTAGAAGAAGTAGTATTTTTATGGCATTTGACATATTGGAAGTAAATAGTTCTAAAAAAGGAAAATTGTATGAAATAGCAAACATTTAATTAATATTAAATGCTATAGCCATAGTTTTCTTTATTTGTAATTCACAACAAAAGTTTCATGTTTTTTGCCATCTGGCGGGACCCACTCAAAAGATATATTTGTATATACGAATTTCCTTTATACAATTATGTGTTGTATAAAAATTAATTTTATATATATATATAGCATATGCTTGTATATAATTTGTTGTTTGTATATGTGCTATAGTTATACATAACAAGATATGTCTGTATAATCTCTTTATGTATATATGTAGTAATTTTGTTTATATACAATCACTAAGTTTTAGTTTGTTTATACAGATTCTATAAATTTTGCACGAACGACACTTTATATACAAGTAGCAGTAGATATTAGCATTTGTTTGTATATAATTTGTTGTTTGTATATTTTCGTTTTACACAGAGTTTTAAAAGGCGTAGGCGTGAGGCGGGGCATTTTACTTAGTATAAGGCGAGGCGTAAGCCTCGAGACGTGGGGCGTAATCCCTATGGATCTTTAATTTTTTAATTTACAATATAGTATAATAATCTAATAACACAAAATTATAAAAATACATCAATAGTTTGAAATAATTACAAACATGATTAAGGAAACTCATAGAAAATAAAACTTCTAACATGACTATACAAGTATAAATAATCTAATATCTTAACTTCCTAATAATAAAAGAATCATTGTTGCTAGAATTTTTTTTATCATACTATACAATTTACTCCCCTAAAAGAAAATAATCAATGAACTTACTAGTATTATAGTAAAAACATCACTCCTTCATGAA